TGTGCATCGTGCGTATGTGTGCGTGCAATGTAGCGTGCTATCCTTGTTTATATCTTTGTCCATACAAGGACAGATATAGTTCGCCGGTCTTCTTTACCGACGCCGATCGAGTTCGGCTACGGCTCCAGCATCCCCTTCGTTGGCATTGACGCAAAAGTGCGTCAAATTTTTCCGTGCCGTGTGTGGCATTGACGTAAAAGTGCGTCAACCTTTTTTTTCCTATTTAACTTGCTCCGATTTGGCATCTAAGTCTTATACGGGGGTTTTTGGGGTCGCTGATTACGAATCTGAATTCAAAATTTGCAAATTCAAAATGGCGGATCCAAAATAGCGGATGAAAATGCAAAAAATTACTTGATTAGGATGAAATTTGCCACTCGGGGGTTTTTGGGGTCGCTAATTACGAATCTGAATTCAAAATTTGCAAATTCAAAATGGCTAATCCAAAATGGCGGATAAAAATGCAAAAAATTACTTGATTGAGATGAAATTTGCCACTCAGGTGTTTTTGGGGTCGCTGATTACGAAGCTGAACTTAAAATAAAGGAATTCAAAATGGCGAATCCAATAACATGAAGCAAAATACAAAAAATAGGTAGAAATGTATAAAGCTTGGTACTCACAACATAGTATTATTATCTAACCTAACATATATATTTTCAAAAACTGTTTGTTTGTCTCAAAGTCTCAGGACACGCACAGATGTACTCACAGATACTCACAGATTTGACCAGACAAATCAAGCCGTTTTTTGTATTTTCGTCCGCCATATTGGATCCGCTATTTTGAATTTCTAAATTTTGAGTTCAGATTCGTAATCAGCAACCTAAGTAACCCATAAGTACCAAGATTTATCTACCCTGCATAAAACGTCTTATTCAAAAATATTGTTTCGCATTCACGAGATTTTGTCATGAATTCTGCTTTGCAACAATTTCGGATTGGATCACGGGTCAATACTTTTCAGTGCGATACTGGGAACAGAACGTGAAAATCTTGTATGCCTCTGAATCCAAAAACAATTAGCAAAAGAAGTGAATCCTTTTTAATGCGAGAATTCGCATTTGTTTGAAGGTTATCGATTGCGATTGAATGCGAGGAATATTTTAAGCTAAGTGAATTCTTGCAAACCAATACTTTTCAATCCCTTTCTTCGCATCAGAAAGCAGAATTTAAATTAATTCTTTTCAATCCGACATTTTATGCAGGGTAAATCAAGCCGTTTTTTTGTATTTTCGTCCGCCATATAGGATCCGCCATTTTGAATTTCTGAATTTTGAGTTCAGATTCGTAATCAGCAACCTAAATAACCCATATAAGTACCAATATTTATCCAAATCAAGCCGTTTTTTGTATTTTCGTCCGCCATATTGGATCCGCCATTTTGAATTTTCAAATTTTAAGTTCAGATTCGTAATCAGCGCCCTCAAAAACCCCAGGGTACAAATTTTCAGAATAAAAAATTTTCCTGCCATTTTGGGCACTTTTTGTCGAATTCTCTCTGCCAACGAAGGGGTTAAAATAAGATTCAAAGAACATGCAAAGTTTAACGTTATTCGCTTTCTTCGTTCCCCTATAAAAAATTTCTGAAAAATATTTATTTTTAAAGAGGTTCTCCGGCTCAACTTGTATTCATGTTTAAAAAAAAAATTTATTTTACTTAAGTTAAAATTAATAATTTTTATATTTTAAAATAGTAGACATAAACTTTATTTGTAAATATATATGTAAACAAAAGTAAACAAAAACTATTTAAATTATTAGTTGTTTGTATAGATGGACACATGCGGATATCTTTCCTTCCATTCATTAACTAATTGATCACTTATATTACACCGCGTGAGATAAAACTTTTGCAATTTAGGACATTGTCTCAAAATAATGGAATATTTATCAGGTATATCAAGTTCCGCAGTCTGAAGAAATAACTTTTTTAAGTTTTTGCACTGCGCTAGTAATTCCAACCGGTGATCAGTGAGGACAGGAAAGTGCAACTCAATTTCTTGCAAGTGTTGATAAGAAGAAAGTAATCTAAATATGCTGTCATCAGTAATTGGGCATTCGTCTCTGTAACAAAAATCATATAATTAGTACAGTATTTTAATTGCAAAGAAAAAATTCATGTAACTTTTTCAAGATGCTCGCAAGAGAAGCAAACAAATTTCAATAAAGAATACAATGTGTATTTAAAAAAAAATGTAGCACACACACACTTACAGATCAAGGGACACTTTTTGTAAATTCTTACAGTTAGCGAGAGCATTAATACCCTGAGATGTAATATCTCCATCTGGGATTATGTACAGTGTATGTATTAATTCCAAGTCACGACACGAATTTGCCAACTCTATCAGAATTGCATCGTTCATCGAGTCTCCCAATTCCACTTCACGTATTTGTGGATTATTTTGCAGTGTTTTGCAAATATGTTCTGTCGTTATTGGCAGCCCAGAAAAATGGATGCATTCCAACTTATTTAGCCTCTCGAAATACGAAAATCCGTCGTCGTCGTCGCCATAACAAAACCTTAGATCCAATTCTAAAAAAATTTTGCATTAGTTCTTATGCAATTTACCCATAATCTTGATAATTATATACATATACTATATGCATATACCTTTCAAATTTTTGCATGTCTTTGAAATTTCAAAGGACAGTTGGACAGGATTTAACTGTCCTACTGTTGAGAAATAATCTATGCGGCAATCATTTAGACTTAAATGCGTTAAACAGCTGCCGCAATTATTAAGAAAATTTACGAAATCATTAACATCAAAGTAGCTTCCTCGAAGATCTAATTGTTGCAAATATTTACATCTAGGTGTAAAATAACAAAATATATCGCACATATATTTCTTAGATTTATATCGCATGTTCAAACGTGTATAGAGTTCAGGGTCCTGTGTTAAATTTTTGAAGCGTTTATCTACGTTACTCATGCGGCATAACGTCTTCAAATCTAAATTTTTTAATATTTTTAGTAGTATTTCATTCTGTAAAGATAGAATATAATTAATATAATACAAAATAAATACTTTAATACTCAAAGAACGAAATGTCATTGCAATGAATATTGTGATAAAAAATAGACTTCTTAGAATACTTTACAGGAAGCGCAGATAAACTGCAACGTGATAGCTCCTTGGATTCATCCGAAGAGAGTTTCATACTGTTTACACAATTGAATTCGGTACGCATTCTTTTAATTCCGGTATCCCGCCTTTCAACTTGCAGTTGTAATGCATTAGCCTCATCCGTAACTGTGTCTCTCTGCCTACGTAATTCATAATTTTCCTTCTCCAACCTGTAATCCACATTAAATCAAATCCAATTATAAGATATTAAATGTTGATAACACTTCATTAAGAATAAACATTAGTCTCTTGCTATTTTATACAGTAATTATATTATTAGTTATCAAAATATTATAAAATTTTTGTTTATATATCGATATTAGAAATTGTAAGAACGTGACATTACCGTTTGACAGATTCCTGTAATCTGTGCACTTCAATTTTCACTTTTTCAAGATTGCTACATACTAATTCTGTATTGTTCTTTTCCGTTAGCTCCAACTTCCTTCTACACTCGTCAAGATCCAACTTCTGCTCTGCAAGTTCCTTCTGCGCCGTCTCTAAATTTTGTTCTGTAAGTCAACATATGATATAAAGTTCTCGGCCTTCCATTTATTTATGCAAAATTCTTTATTTTGAGATAAATTTTGGTCATGAATTATATGGCTTTCGATGTTTGAGACTAAAGTTTACATTGAGTCTCGAGTAAATAACAAAAGTATTGTTAGAAGAAACCTAAATTCGAGAAAGGTACATAAAAAGCGCCGGCATTTCAGAAGTATGTAAATAAAACGAGCGTCCCTCAAATATTCGAAGCTGGTAAAAATTCAAAACGGCGCGTCCAGCTTACCCAAACATTTTCGGCTGGTCTCGAAAACCGCCTTGGCGGTTATGAACTCCTCGAACTTTGCATTAAAATGCGCATTGATCTTCCTCGTTGATTCTCTCGGGATTTGCGCCAGCTCCTCACTCGCGATCTCGCGAAGAACGTTGGGCTCGCTCTCCTCGACCGCTTCCATGTCGATCAGATAATTTCTTCGACGAGATTGGATCAGTCGAGCTTTACAACCGACGTTTTCAGATTCCAAGGTTGAGGTGTTGAATTTCTCTGAACAGGCACCACATTTGCGTCTCAGTTAATAAACGTTATCACGTTTCTGCAACGGACACGAACGTTTTACCGCAATTACCGCTCCTGCGCTTCGTCGTTCGTCGTCAGCATCACGTGGTCACGTAGCGCAAATCAGTGCAGAGTGTGCAGACCCTCCTGCCTCCTGCCTCCTGGAGCAAGAATCAAAGCTAGTCAGAATAGCCAACAATCTGGTTAAATCCAGGGTTGCGTTCCAAAATTCACTCTGAGTAACTAAAATCTATAGTTTACGTCACGTATGTATGTATGTATGTACACTATAGCATTTTAGTTAACTAGAGTGAATTTTGGAACGCAGTCCAGGGTGACCAGATTATCCGACTGCAAAGGGTTCTATAGAACGATCCCGTGATTGGTTCACTGATTCCTCTTTCTTTTGAGAATTTAAAGGATTTTTTGGACGGTATTCATAGTCGGATCTTGTACTCCCTTATGTTGAATCTTGTAAAATAATTATTATTTATTAAAAAATACATATATGTTTGTAAACTTTGTATTATATAAGTATTTCTGTGTTGAATTTAAAAATTATTAATTTTATAAAATTGTTATCATATCAACTAATAAATACACAATGGCTGCGTTCAGCCGAACCTCTATCACAGTCTCCGATTAACGTGATTCTCTTTCTTCTTTTTCTTCTTATATTTGTATTGGCTCCTGCCTCTAATACGAGGTCAATACGGCCAGCAGTTGCCTCTGTTTGTGTGTTTTTCACTGTCTGATTACTATACAGTTGAGTGGCGAAGTCTAAAAGGCAATTGCAAGCAGACAGTATCAGTCGCAATACTTTAAAAAATTTTTTTGTTTGGGCGGAACACGTCCGAACTAACAAAATGTAACTAACGTGATTCTCCGATTAAACTCACTCTGCATCTCTTTCTAACTATCCCCCTAGAAAGAGACGAAGAGTGAGTTTAATCGGAGAATCACGTTAATCGGAGACTGTGATATCGGCCCATAGGCCCCCTGACCTCTATGAAGTTGGCCGGACAACTTCAACGTATCGAACTTTCATTAATTGGAATCGATTGGTGGTCGTTTGGTGGTCTTTGGTAGTCTAGTCCGATCGTTTGGTGGTTAGTCGTTTTCCTGTAAAATAAAAATAAAATTTTCGGTGTGAAGTTAGCCGGACAATTTTTATTTTTCAACCAATTTAATTTTTTATAGCTCATTCGACGCGGAATCGTTTGGTGGTCACGAATATCACCAGTAAAACGTTTGGTGGTCAACCGTTTTCCCAGAAAATAGAAAAAACCGTATGCGCATAATGCCGTAGTCGGAACAATTGTATTTATCACCCAAATTGACTTTGACAGGGCTCAATCGACGCGGAATCGTTTGGTGGTCACGAATATCGTCATTAAAACGTTTGGTGGTCAATG